CACTTGCAACCAACAATTTTGCATCGTGGTCTGGCAGATGAATATTCAGATATGTATATATTTCCTACAATTTGCACTTACCTTGCGTTTGTGGGCTGCGTAAAATACGTTGCTCTCGAATGAAGCGAAGTAATCCAAACTTTGATATGATCTCTAAAATAAACACACAAACGTTATCCAAAAACGAAAACAAACACAAACTTTATCTGAAGGTTTTGTCTAGCACTACAGATTACTACGTATGCATGTATGTGTATGGAAACTTTTCAGCTGATTTTTTATAATTTAAATTATTTGTCACGTTCTTAACAAGTTGAGCATATGGCTAATTTATATATATTTTATTTTGTTTTTTTTTTTTTTTTTATAGTTAAGCGAAGCAGTTACTCCTTATTTTACCGATATCTCGTGTGCAGTAGTAATACCGCTTCTCTCGTAACGAATTCGTTTTAACACCTGTTGAAGTTCAAACTCGACTGATCGTTGCGCTGTCGAAGTTGAGTATACCGGAGATCTGCTGTTGCAGCTCTAGACTGTTAACCAACTGTTAAATATATCGATGACAATTCAAAAATTCGATTAATCAATTAAGCCAAACAACTGGCGCCATCTGCCGAGTATTGTATATTACCGTTTCAACAGAACACAGCACTTATGCCTAAGAGTTACCTTTATTTTATAGCATAATTTGCAGCACTATTCACTTTATTCATTTTGGTATATCTTACAAGTATGCACTATTGATATGTACATATCTAAGTTATTCAACGCAAATTCTAAACCTATTGCGATGTTAGCGCTAGTGTCGTGGCATTTCTATAGTTGGGTTTGGTTTTGTTTAATTTAATAAATCATATGTCGATTAGGTTTTTACAAACTAAAGTAATATTAGTATTCTAATTGTTCCTCTACATTTGATTTGAATATATTTTACAAAAGATGGCTCTGTTTTCAAAATAATTTAGTTATATTTCGATAGTATTTAGCTATCGATATTAAATATTTTAATATGCACATTTCATAAATAAAAAATGAAGCTTGCTGTGAAGTAAATACTATAAAGTTATAGCAATAGTAATTCTTCATTTCTAAAGCTATTTTTTTGTCATTTCTCATGCAGAATTTCTCAAAATATCACTTCACAGTGTGACCATAATAATATGGCGTAATAACTTTTGGTTAAAACACATTGAAAGTATAATTGATTTTAATTAATAACATTTTGGGTCAAACAACTCACAACGCAAACACTCCAAGAGTTTATAATCAAAACAGTTTGGTTATAAAATCAAATCCAAAATTGCAGTATTTTAAATAATTGTCCAGGCGGGCTACCAAATTCGAGGGCTGTCGCAAAACACACAGGGATGCAACACGGACGCAACAAGATTATGACATTTTCGCCTGTCAAAAATTTTTGTCGTCCGCTCGCCCGATCTAAGCCTGTTATTGTAATTAATAAAATTTTTGTATATTCTGAGAATGTTTTCTGCCAACACACACTCAGTGGTAAGTGTAGGCCAACTACGATCCCGATTCTCCATTGCTTCCATTCCCACAACCACTGACTTTTTGGTTTTTATTCAATGTCAGCCCTACCTTTATCTGGGTAATTTTAGTCGAAAACCGCACTATTACACAGTAAAACGTACCAAACTGCAAACAAATGGCGGTGTTCCACGTTTCTTTGCCGATAAATCAAGGTCCTCCAGCTCCAGCATCAACAATAACAAAAGTACACATGCCCAAGGTAGAAGTTACGACCTCGTGTTGGATTTCAAGAACCTGCTCATCAAATCGGGTGCTAGTTTACAAAGCATTGTGGAGAAGGCAGCGCGATTGAATGGTATACTGGACAAGGAGCTTGTCAACAATGCTCTGATCAGAGTCACAAGCATGTTGCCCTCGATGCGGAATGTCCATGTCACACTGGAGGAGCCCGCGATACAAACAGCTGCTTCGGGCAAGCAACACGCTAATTACAAGTTTAAAGTCTCATTGGATTCGACGAAAAATGCTGAGCTTATGTGCGTATGATCTGTCTAAAATCTCATTCATCCACTAACTAAAAACTCTCAATTGCAGCAGCATGCAATCAACCTTGTTGAGAGGGCTATTGAGTCCCATGTCACTGAACCACCATCAGTTGTAAGTAGAATTGTCAATTGTTGATTGCTGGAGCGGAATGATTTCAAGAATTTTCATCGTTTCTGCAGGAGACAATTCCGCGGATTCAAGACAGACCGTTCCATTGAGGCGGAACAGAAACGCAATCCCACAATGACAACCAGACTGAAGTCAGCGCTGCAAGGAACGCCGCAGAAAACAGATGGTGAACTGAACATTCAGGCCGAGAAGCTTAAGAAATTGCTCTCTAAATCGGAGCTGCAGGGAAATGCACATAATGCGGTATGCACTACGTTCATTTATTCTCATTCGAGAACTTCACTGTGGATAACTCTGTTTTCAGGAGAATATAAAAATTGCTTTTGCTGAAGGATATTTGGCGGCATCGAACGCGGAAGATTCGCAAAAGTCGGGAAAAACAATGAAGTACCTGAAGGTAAGTTCCAATACCCAATTAACTAACCCCCCTTTGTCTTGACCTTCGTTATACTGCCGAAGAAAGCATCTCCGAGAGGGGAAACATCTCGGGCAGCTCTCTGAGTATAAGCTATAGCTATATATTCACATTCTGCCAAACTGTGCTTTACTTCTGGTCTGTAATGAGTTGTTGTCCACCATTCGCTCCTTAGTGTTGTGAATAATGCTCAGTAATTGTCACGCAGATTTTCCAGACACTCATTGTTATCGTCGTATTCATTGGAATCTTCATGAGTTTCTTTACCTCATCAAATGGATCTGTATTCCGGTGAGTCAAACTTTACATTCTCTTTCTCCACTCTCACTCTGTGCAAAATAATTCTAAAAACATGTCTTTTAGCAGCATACAACTTGGCAATCAGGTTGAGGTTGATCCAGAAGAAATTCACGTCACATTCGATGATGTCAAAGGCTGTGATGAGGCGAAACAAGAGCTTAAGGAGGTGGTAGAATTTCTCAAGAATCCCGACAAGTTCTCAAATTTAGGTGGTAAGCTGCCGAAGGGTGTGCTCCTCGTTGGCCCGCCTGGCACTGGAAAGACTTTGCTTGCCCGCGCCGTTGCAGGCGAGGCAAATGTTCCCTTCTTCCACGCCGCCGGTCCGGAGTTTGATGAAGTCCTGGTTGGCCAGGGCGCCAGACGTGTTCGAGATCTATTCAGTAAGTAGTTGTGATTGTTCACTAACTAATCATTATTGTGTATCACTTTCTTTGTTCATATCATTTACAGAGGCTGCTAAGGCTCGCGCTCCCTGCGTCATCTTCATCGATGAAATTGATTCGGTTGGCGCAAAGCGCACAAATTCTGTTCTCCATCCATACGCGAATCAAACCATAAATCAACTGCTCTCCGAAATGGATGGCTTCCATCAAAATGCCGGTGTCATAGTGCTCGGTGCGACGAATCGTCGGGATGATTTGGATCAAGCGTTGCTACGTCCAGGTCGTTTTGACGTTGAAGTTGTAGTCTCTACGCCAGACTTCACGGGTCGCAAAGAAATTCTTTCATTGTATTTGGAAAAGATTCTGCATGATGACGTGGACTTAGATATGCTAGCACGTGGCACCTCGGGTTTCACGGGCGCGGATTTGGAGAATATGATTAATCAGGCAGCTCTGAGGTAACTCATCATATATTCTTATAGGATAGTAACTAATTTTATTCATTCCAGAGCTGCCATTGACGGAGCCGAGACTGTAAATATGAAACATTTGGAAACTGCAAGAGACAAAGTACTAATGGGTCCAGAGCGTAAAGCCCGTCTGCCCGATGAAGAGGCAAACACAATAACCGCCTATCATGAGGGAGGGCACGCGATAGTGGCCTTCTATACGAAGGAGTCACATCCTCTGCATAAAGTGACAATTATGCCGCGTGGTCCCTCTTTGGGACACACCGCCTACATACCGGAGAAGGAACGCTATCATGTGACAAAGGCGCAACTGCTGGCAATGATGGACACGATGATGGGCGGACGTGCCGCCGAGGAGATAATTTTTGGTGCAGAAAAAATTACATCAGGCGCAAGCAGTGATCTGAAGCAAGCAACATCGATCGCCACGCATATGGTTAAGGATTGGGGTATGTCGGAAAAGGTCGGTCTCCGGACAATTGAGTCGCCCAAAGGCCTGAGCGCAGGCGACTCCCTAGGACCGAATACCGTTGAAGCCGTAGATGCTGAGATTAAGCGCATTCTGAGTGATAGCTATGAGCGTGCGAAGGCCATTCTCAAGAAGCATGCGAAGGAACACAAAGCGCTCGCCGAAGCGCTGCTAAAATACGAAACTCTGGATGCTGACGATATCAAGGCTATTTTAAGTGACAACCAGTAGTATTTTTCCAGAATGGCTTCAGATGGGCGTACACTGCATATACATATAATTACATATATTTTAGTTACAATATTATAAACGTAAACACTCTGAAACAGAAAACTATTAGAGATCGGGACGCAGACGAGCAGTTAAGTAATAAAATGTTATACATATTTTTTATGTATTCTTATTCATTCATATAAACGGAATAACAATAATGAATAAGTCAAATTCATTACTAAATTGTTTTATTTCAATCGAATCAGGTGTTCTGTTATTTCAGCTTCTAAGGTAAACAACACGTATGCCATGGCCAAAAACTAACAGCAGCTGCTCTGTTATTACATGGATTGCAATATTATGTTATCGATTCAGTACTGTTAAAGGTTTAAAGTAAAAATCTTTTCCAAGAATACTTAAAAAAGATTATTTTAAATGAATTACTGCGCAAAATCACATTTTGTCTTTCATAAAGTAATCCGTTATTTAATTATAAACAATACCCGCCATTCTTTTTGAGCTCGTGCACATTTGACGTATTTTAGTATTTTTGTGGATATTTCTGAAGTATTTTGACATTTGTTGTTTACGGTCTTACTCAAAGTTAATTAGTAGTAAAAACTTACAAGTCAACTCTCGGCTACGAAAATTTACAAAAATAATAAGTTAAAATGTGCGAATATGAGTTTTCTGAGACTGCATATACAAAAATCATATTTCATGCAGCGAAATACCCACACCAAGCTGTGAACGGTCTGCTGCTGGCCGAGAAGAAGACAAAAGGCTCTATAGTCCAAATCACAGATGCAATTCCTCTTTTCCATCAGTGCCTGGGCGTTACTCCTATGGCAGAAATAGCCCTAATGCAGGTGAGTTTGCAAACAATTAAAAACTGATCAGATCTGAAGATGTGGCAATTGCAGATTGACGCTTACGCCGAGAGCGCGGGATTGGTAATTGCCGGCTACTATGCTGCGCCGGAGAACTTTTACGACAATCAAATCGAGAAGGCGCCAGCTGCCAAAATCGCGGATAAAATACAGGAGAACTTCAAGAACGCCTGCTTTGCCATTGTTGACAACAAGCTCGTTTCACTGGAGCACAAACGAGCTGCACTGCAGGTGTACAGCTATGCGAGTGACTCGAACCGCTGGTCAAAGGCCAAATACTCGCTGGTGAACACGTCGCAGACGCTGGAGGGAGTGTCGCTGCTGCTGAAACGGGGCGCTATGCGGGATGTGATTGATTTCGACAATCATCTGGACAATCCCGAGAACGACTGGACCAATCAGTTCTTGAATCAATCCCTGAAAGATCTGCAGAAGCTGTACTAGTCCAGAAAAGTTATCCGTTATCTAAGTGTGTTAAAACTGTTAGCAAATTGTGTGCATTTCCAAATGAGAAAGACCAGAGCCGGATTTTCAACCTTGCAATTTAATTTATTGTATGTAATTACAATTGGATTTCAGTAATCTTTAGAATAATGCATATAAGTTAAATAACATTCAACTAATTAATAAATAATCAATTCATTCGTATTTGCTTTTGGAGTACATGTCCTAGCCCTATCCGATTTGTAAGAGTCTAGTCCGTCTGTCGTCCGTGTCCTGTGGTGTCGTGCGCGTCCTTTAAACCTAAACATGTTTACAGTTACCATATTATAATAAATACAAATGAATAATATGCATAGAATTTTGCTTTTTGTTTTCTCTGTCCCGCTCATCAATTTTCAATGTTAATATATTTTACAACAATATTGTAATATCGCGATTGCTGATTATACATATGTAAGTACATAATACGTATCGTGGATATATCGGAGATTCGAAAGTATCGCAAAAACGTTTTTTAATTTAATTTTGTTAAATATAACTATAATTTTTTTAAAGTTATAACTTTAATTTTAAGGTATTGTATAATTCGATATTATGCATTCATATCATCAAATATCAGCTTATATATGGAACGTGGATCAAGGAACGGGAATCGTAATTGCATTTCGTTTTGGTTTTTGTATTTGTTAGTTTTTTATTTTTGCTGTCAACTTGCTTTGATCTTATGTATGTTTTGATGTTTGTATATAATATCAATTATATTTATTGTTTGCTTGATAAATTTATTGTATTCGTATATATGTATATATATGTACTTTGTTTATATAGAATATATATAGATATATATATATTACTTGAACGATATCTGTTGCTGGTATCCTGTATATACGAATGCATGTAGATATTGCTGTGACGTCTATCAATGGAGTTCTACGAGGGCGCCTTTTGATTATATCCTAGCTATACAAGTGCAGGCACACACACACAAATATGTACATATGTATGTCAGTATATAACAGTATATATACGGCTGGTATATGTATATGTATGTATGTATGTATTTATATAACAGAATGTGCACATGCCCATGCACCTGAACACTCAAGCATTTTCTTTATCATATGTATGTATGTATGTTTATAACTTTAATCCAATTCTGTTTGCACCATGTATACGAGAAGTAGTTGTTGTTGTTGTTGTTGCTGTTGTTTTGTGTTGTGTATCATCGCCATCATCACATGTTATGTTAGTTGATCTACAATACATATAATATATAGAATTATTGCAAGTGCATATGTATGTGAGTGGGTGGGTGGGTGAGGGTTGAGAGTGTGGTTGTGGTTGTGCGTGTTAATGTGTGTGCAATTTGAATGGGTTTCTGTCTGTCGATCGGGTTGCTTTGTGTGTGTCTTGGCTTGGGATTGTATTTCGAGTCAAAATCGAAGAGAATCTAGATGTTGACACCATCGCCACGAATATTTACCATTCCCGATGACAGAGAGTTGATGGCATCCTCCACTGTCGGCTTGTGTCGATCGAGTTTGGATGAGTTTATGGGCGAGAAGTTGTCTGCGATTGTAAGCGAATGAATGAATATTTATATATATATATATATATAGACCAACGGAACAGAAAAGGCGGATTGCAGTAAGAAATCAAGTCAAGTGCCAATTACCGAGATCACCACTCGAACTGGAGTCCGTAAAACTGGGTGTGCCCTCTGTCCAAGTGGGTGTTGAGCCCTCACCTGAAGCCGGTGGCGTCCAGGCCAGGCCACCGCGTGACCCATAGTGACTGCTCGATGACGTGTCCACCGCCAGAAACGTGTCCAGATGCACCTCAGAGACGCTGCAATAAAAGCATAGACAAAATCGAGAATTGAGAATTCTGCTAAGCCTGTTGATGTATCTAGCAATACCTAACAATATCCTCCTTATAGGAGCCTCGATATGCTGGGCCAATGTTCATCTTGCGATCCAAATACTGTGGTTGTTGCTGATAATAGGAATGTTGCTGCTGGGTTTGTTGCTGCTGCTGCTGCTGGTGTTGCTGGTGGTGATGGTGATGATGATGATGTGACCTGCGCCCCATCGAAGAGGTGCTGTTCTTGTTCGAGCTGTCCTCGGAGATGTCGTCAAAGGCAGGGGGAGGTGTTGAACTGCATGATGGAGTTGTGCCTAGCAATACAATGAGAACAGAAATGCAATGAGCGCGACAGAGTAGAGAGAAATCTAGAGCAAACATAAACATATAAATATAGGGGATGGGCGGGGATGGGGCAAGCGCAATGTAAGCATGCTGCAGTCTAGGCACAACTGTTGCGTCTGAATTCGAGCGAATCCTGGAACGTTGCGCCATTGGACTGTGTGTCCGTGCTCTCCGGGATGGTGGAGGGCGCCGCTTTGGGTGCTCGTCGCTTGCGCTTGGGGCGCTTTGGTGGTGCTGCGGGCACACTGAGCTGCACGTGCTGTTCGGCTTCATCCGCGGCCTCCGGCGGAACCTGGAGCACGGGCAGGTTTCTCGGCCGTCGATTGGCGCCTTCGAACTCGCGCTTCACCTCGAGAAATGTGCTCACCGACTGCAGCAGATTCTCCTCCTGCGACTCGCAATTGTCGTCGCCCAGCGCCAGGTCTACATAGTGCAGATAGCGCTGGCGCTTGTGCTGCTTGCGCTGCATCAGGTGCTTGCTCCGTCTGGGTGAGCATTCGGTGCTGCCGCTCACAGTGGTGTGGGCGGTGCGATAGCTCTCGGTGCGTATGGGCGGAAAGTTACGCACGATCGAGCCCACCGAGGAGCGATCGCTGCGCGCCATGAAGCTGTTTTGGCGCTGAAAGATGTCCACATGGCTGAGCAGGCGCGACGGCTGCTGCTGCCGCCGCTGGCTGCTCTCCGAGCGCGCCGTGGAGTAGGCCGACTGCAACGACTCGCGACGACGCGTTGAGCGGTTGCGTTGCAGCGGAGACACGGACGGCACGGGCGCTGGACTCAAATCGTCCGCCACATCAAAGAGATCATGCAGCTCCAGCCAATCCTGGACATTGCTGGGCGAGCGACGATCCCCAAAGCGAGGATTCGAGTCGCTGGGCAATTGCAGCGTGTTGCTCACGCTGACTGGAGCTGCTGTAATGCCTGTGGGTGAATTGATATCGAATGTTGCTGTACCTGGCGTGGTCGAGTGCGCCCGACTGTCCTGTGCATCCTTGCGACGTGGCGATCCACGCGGTGGCACTGGCGGTGGCACACGCGCCTTCAAGTTGCTGCCAGCCGCAGCACCGCTCGCCGACGACGTGGATGCGCGCTGCCTCACGGGCGGTGGCACATTGCCGGAGTGGGAGCTCTGGCCAGCTGCACTCGAATGACGCCCACTTTCCCGATCCCGATCGCGATCCCGATCTCTATCTCGATCCCGCTCGCGTTCCCTGTCACTAGCAGCAGCTGCTGCTGCGGACGTTGGCTCTGAGTTAGACGACTTGGATGGCTGATGGATTTTGCCGCTGCTGTGCGAGTGCGATGCATGCACAGCTGGAAGAGAGAGATGAAAGATGAGAGATGAGAGAGATTAGGAATGAGTTTTTAGTCGATTGAGCAACGCTCACTCACCTCGTGTGGGCTCATTGTCGCTGTCTATGGAGCGCTGTATGGCCTTGGAGAGGCTTTTTCTTTTCGACGGCGAATGCTTCAGAGCTGTAAAATCCCACAAAGATCACAGATTAGTTGAGGAGCGAGAATATCATAAAAGAGGTGTGATTGAGTAGGCGCAGCACTTAAAGCAGAAGCTCATTGCATTTGGATTAGTTGGATATGTGGGTTAGAGATATGAACACTAACGTGTGATCGAGAGGCATGCTTTGCGTCCGGTTTCATCAACCAACCAAGTGCATTAAATATATGTAAAATATAAAACCAAAGTGTAAGAACTCAATAAATATATATGTAAATATAAGTATATATATCAGTTAGTTACTTAGCAATCAAAATGAAAATACAATTCGTGAGTATTGTTGTTTCTTTACCTATATAGCTGGTTACCAAGGTACGAAATTTTCTGTGATTTCCTTTGATCTCTGGGAGATCCACTATATGCGTACAAGTGAGAGTAATGCATCAAAGTAAGTAATCGATAAGAAAGCAGAGAACAGAGCGGTTTCAGAAAGAAAATACACATCAAGTCCAAATTTTCAATTACGTTTCACAAATTGGATAAGATAATAACAAGATAATGATAATTAATTAGTTAATTCGACTAGATAATTAGCTGACTACCGATTGATAGCGCACAGAGGGCAAAGTGTGTGTACCATATTGCATTTTTGCTGCACAAAAACTGAATCAAACTAAATTAGCGATTTACAATGGTGTTGAATGGGTATATCAAATATTCTGATATACCACAGATATATATATATTATTATGTGTGTGTGAGTGTGTGTGTGTGGGTGGCAGCTACGCAAAAAACGATTGCCAAAAGGTCGAATGTCAACACGGACATGTTCAAGTAGTTTTCGTTTTGCCAATTGCACAAAAATGCCTTATAGTACGTGTACTTAGCCCAGTTTGCGACAGCCGGCTGACTTACGCGATGGTATCTTGCGGAATACGGTCTTGGCCATAAAGTTCTGAAATCTTTGAGCATAGAACGAGGGTCGACAAACCGAAACGGTCTCCTGCACAAAAAGAAGAACAGAAAAGAAATTTTATTTGGCTCTCTCAAGTAATCTGAAACCAACTCAAGCGCTTACCCCGTCATGTATAATGCTTTTGAATGTGTGCTCCAGCTTCTTCTTTAGCCTATACGATTGCAGTATATCGATGATGCCAATATAGAGCAACAGGCGCTCGCCCTTCTCGCTGCGTGCCGGAATGCCACCAGGTCTGGTTGGAAAATATATACATATATACAAATATAATAAAATTTGTTTATAACCAAATGCACTTACGGCACATCCTCCTCATCGTCGATGGGCTCGCTTTCCGCCTGAATGCTCTCCATGGCAGTGGAGTGGGCCACCAGACGCTGTCGATTCACGGATCTGTATGCCACACTGGATTAGCATTTAGCATTTTCATTGAATTCTCCTCTTCTGCTGCCTCCTGTGAATACTCACTTATTTCTGCTGATGCCCGTGGCCGCATCACGATCCTTGGCATCACCCTCGGCCGCTTCCAGCGGCTCATCGACATCGGAGTCCTCGGCCAGCGGTGCTCTCAGTGGCTTTCGATGCTCACTCAGCTTCTCCTTGAGCGCCACGTCCAAGTTGTGGACGCCCAGCAGCAGCGAGTAGTCCATAATCTTGAACGATTCCAGCACTGTGCAATCCCGTTGAATGGTCTTGATCAGAGCCGAATAGGTTTCCGCCT